GAACTTTACCACATGTTTTCTATAAATCAATAAATAGTATAGGTAGATCCCCCTTACTCTCTCTATATTTTTCCATCAAACCTCTCAACAAATGTATAGCTTCCATGGTTGACCTCCTGGTAAGAATCAAAACTGATTTAGAGAAAAATTAGTACCTCGTCGTAACCTATGTTAAATTACTTTCTCTCATAATTTTAATATATGACACATTAACTTAATTCCTCTGCAATTCACACTCTCTTTTGCACCACCTTTATTCTTTAAAATAAGAACCAACATACACTTTCTCCACTCTTATGGCATATTTTTAGTCTTCAAAATAATATTAAAATGTTTAAGTCAAAAAAATCCTTGATTTCCTAAGCATTTCCACACCTCCATTAGAGTATCATGTCTCCTGCCTTTTCACGCTTCATTCTTTTTAAAGTCTCTTCAACTTTGATTTTATTAATACAACAATAAAAACAAAAATCTCTCTTTTCAATTAGAGTGCTAAAGTCATTAAAAAGCTTATAAAAACATCTCATCCATCTATGTTAAAAATCCACTTATAAGAAAAGTAGCTTTTGATTTTCAACCTTAATACACGTCACTTGAACTAGATCATTACTTCTTTTATCTCTTTGTTTGACTAACTTATACATACATCTTTCACACTCATTAGTATCTAATTTATTATGCAAATCACTAAAAGCTCATTTTCTTTATATCGCATATTATTTTCTTAGACTCCTCACGGGCCTCTCTATATCTTTCTCAATTTTTTGAGCTTTGACATCTAAATCAATTTTTATAACTTTTTTTTTATCTTTCCTTATACATTTTGATTTCACCATTAACTATTTTTACTAATAGGAGCTTTCCCTTTTAATTCACTAAGCACATACTTTGCAACTTTATCAATATTACTAGCTACTTTTTTTTCACATAACATTAGCTTCCCTATGAACAACTCAAATCTTGATATATTGAATATTCATCTCAAAAATATTTTTATTAACATTCTTTAAATGCCCCATCTAATCCTAGAATATATTTTTATTTTATTTTTTATATTCCACCCATTCATGTAGCCGACCCCACGTAGTGGGATAAAGGCTTGATATTGTTGTATATTCAACTCATTCATCTTAAAGTCAAAAATAATAAATGATACCAGGTACATAAACTTTCACTCGGATCTCTTTACAATCTTTGCAATTTAGACAATCTATTTTTCTTATAAGAAAAAAAAAAAATCAATGTTTACTAGAGAAGAGGAGAAAAGAATCTTTACTAGAGAAAGAAATGAATTGAAGTGTCTTGCAACAAGGAGGTAACGGATTATGTATAACCACACTTCAAGGTAATTTTGTAAACTGAGAATAACAGAAATAACCCTCTCGCCTTTTTATCGCACTCAATCAATTTCTAGTTTCACCACACTCCTGTCCCTCTCATCCAATTGCCTGACGAGCATAATGCCCCATGTCACATAATTGATACGGACACAGATAAGAACTGTAATGATATTTAGTATCTCCAATTAAATTCTATAAAAAGATTTGTTGACGCCACATTTGTAAAAGATGTAGGCTACATAATTCATTAGGCACCATTATCATGATAAGAAGCTGCGCATGATGGAAACCAGGCTTTCATTGAATTTCATTGTTTAGATTGCAAGTTTCTAGCATTTATCATCACAACATATGGCAGCAGAAGTGTGGCAAACACCTTTTCTGTAACTAGTCATGTAAAGACGAACTATTCCTGCACCCTAGTCATATTCTATGTTTCTAACGAGTACATCCTTTCCTTCTCCCTGGTATAGCCTGAACAAAAGCCACCTCACTAAGTACAAAGACAAGTTTCTATACATAGTAAAAAGTACCATGTATAACTGATGAGAACATCAAGACATGAAAAGTTTAGAGGCGTGGCCGGCGATCTACGTCCACGATTACACCGCTCTACTTTTGATTTTCATATTATTATTGATGTATTAGTTTTATTTATGAAGTTTTATTATGTTTTTTTCCATTTGTTGCCCTTACTTAAGGGCTTAGGTATGTGTAAGTCCTAGGGGTATAGTAGTACTTTGTATTTTCTCATTGTATGGGCTATTTCCTCCCTTTTCTTCTTTGAGGGTTAATGATGATATGAAAAAAAATTTCCTGCGTATTGTTCTCTTGATGTGAGAGTTTGTGAGTCTTGGAGAAATCCTTAGGAGAGTGAAATCGGATCACCCACATACCTTGGAGACGGCCAGGTTCGTGGTTCTTCTTCCTTACCTTTCTTTCGTTCCTTCTCCTTTCCCTTCCTCCTCCTCCATCAAGCCACTTACATCCTCATCCAATCCCCTTCCCCCTTAGCCATCAGTTCTCCCTAGCAAACCCCACATTGCCGCCGGCCAACTCCACCCCTCCAACCCACCTCCCCTTCACCCCCAACCGACTTTCCTACTTCCACAACCAATGCATCCAACCCACAAACCCTAACCCTAAGCGGCTAGCCGCCGGCCTCCTTTCCACTCCCCTTCCTCCCCCACTTCAACCCCATTAATTCTTACCTTTTATATAATCCCCATTTGGAATGCCATAATTTTAAATTTCAAAATCAATTTTGAAATTTGAATTTTTTTCCTAAAATAGATTTCCTAAATCTCTTCCAAATCAAATTTTAATTGGATTTGATTTAATTTCTTTGGCTTCAATTAAGGATCCTATTTAAGAAAGCATTAAAACCCCCATTCAAAGCCTTCCCCAATCAAAGTGCCGCCGGCCCCACCCCCTTTCTCTCTCAAGTCTCCATTAAATCCCCTTCCTTTTGAAGATACCAATCAAATCTCCAATCTATAAAATACTTTCCTTCTCTTTCCCTTGTTTGAATTTCAAATCTTTAAATCCCTTTTTCCCTCCAAATAGAAATCTGAGAAGTAAATTTCAGATTTGGAAAGGGACTCCCTCTCCTAGCCTTGGCCGAACCATGTCCTTCTTCTCCCCTCTCCAATAGCTTGGCCAATCCCCTTCTTCCCTCTCTCTACCCGCCACCCACATCAAACCCTACCCCCTATACCAAGTTTCCTTGCTGCCCAGAAATTATAGATGTTAATAGTGGTTGTCCACCCTTCCAAACCCTAGAGAGCTGCTGTCCAAGACCTCCTAATTGCTGTCCAGCGATTCCAGCAGAAGTTTGTTGCTGTCCAGCCCCATTGGGAGCCACCGTTGCTTCCTGGAACTGTCAGGAATTGCTGTCCCAAGTTGGCTACTTGCTGTCCAGAGGTTCGAGCTTGGATTTGTTGCTGTCCAAGCCGTCCAAGAAGCCACCAACTGCTGTCCAAGCTTGCGATAAGGTTGAATCTTAACAAAGGGTGAACTCTTACCTTCCTCGTTGATCCTTACTTGTGATTTTGATTGATTCATGCAAAATCTTACAACGCTCCGCTAAAGCCTAGCATTTGGTAGGAATTATGTGAGAGACCTTTCATAGCATTACTCTTATTGTTAGAATAGGGATTTCTTGTTGAAACCTATCTCGTATGCAACGTCAAGAGTAATTGATTGTTAAGTGGTTTTTACTTTTCGCAAGTAACTTGGCCTAAGCTTGTGTTTACCGCTCTTTGTAATTTATTTCATTGTTAACTCACCATAAAGCTTTAATTAACTTGCTCTTAATCATCAAGCATTCAAAATCCTTATCTAAATCATAATTTCATATATGTCCTGCATCAATAACCCATCAATGAGAACTTCAAACATCAAACATGAAATGTATTGATCCAAGATCCTCGTCAGGAAAAGTTAAACCTAACTATTCTTTGACAGAATGAATGAAAACGTAAAAAAGGAACGTTTTAAGTATGAACGACCTTAAACTGCATTATAGCTCAAAGATGATATTAAAACAAGCTTTTAAATTTTAAGTTCTAAACTTCAAAATGTTAAATTTTTATTTAAATTTTAATTATTTGCCTCAAGGTGCATTGCTAGCCAAACTTTTTAATGAGCAAAATTATTTATGTTCTCCTCCACAACCCACAACCCACAACCCAACAAAAAAAAATAGTGAAACTGTAAATACATGCAAAGCTCAAAACTCTTGTGTTCTTATCAAAACTTCTAGGTTTAGTAACAGATCTCCAAAGCTAATCACCCTTACTTAAATTTGTAATCGAAGCAAATATGAAATAATAGGGTCTAATGTTGATCAGTTGCGGGGTTTAACCATGCCACCTCATTATCAAAGGATTTCAATGTAATTGCAACCCAAAACATCCAAGTCACAATGGATACAACTCAGCCCGCATTCTAGGCCCGCCCTCTTAAATAAGAGTTTTAATTTGAGGCTTTTTTCTTTGGACGATTAATCATCATTATTAATCTTATCCAAACATTTAGGGGCCAGCTTTATGAATCCACAATTTTCATATATTACAGATTCTATGCAAATCATTTTAAATAACTTCTATCCATATAACCTTAAGTGTAACATCCTTCTCCATCTTAATCTTCTAATACTAATTTTATTCACTGATCCAATGGTTGCGCTATCTATCTTTTGACATACGTGTTCAAACTATCTAAAGTCAACTTTCAATTACTTTATATTCAATAAATATCACTCCAACTATTCCTCTAAAATAATCACTCCTTAATTTTTCATTATATTATCTTCAAGAGCAATGCTTATATTTTTTCGATGAAATGTGAATTATCAAACATACGATGTGCCAGGACAGCAAAACGTTTGCATTCAAGTGACTCCCTTGATGACTCAAGATTGAAACTATAACAATAATGTAGTTCTGTTTTTAGCATCTTATAGTTTATTAAACTAGCATCCCACCAGCAAGTTATTATTTAGACTTAAATGTGCAATATGTGTGCATTTTGATTCCTAAGTGCAGTATTTGCAGTTGTTTCATATAGCCAAATTAAAAAAAAAATTATTTGTTGGAAATATTCTAACGAATTAATCTTAACAAACAATAACCAAAAAAGAGTAGTAAACAGGCTTACATTCGCAAGTTTGGCTGGTAAAGGAGGCAAAACTCTGAATGAAGTAGGACGGTTATCAAGCTTAAATCTGCTTGCGTATGCTGCTGGAGTTCGATTCACTTGTTTTACAATTTGATTAGCTTGCTGCATGGTGGCTAGATTTGTTTTTGAACTTGGTGAAACAACGATCTCCGTCAAATTGCTCCTTTCTAGAGATTTTCCAGCTTTCTGGCTCTCCCCTGAAACGCTAATAGTTGTTGACCCTGCCTCAGCATCTTTCGCTGACCGGCTTCCAAGGTTTATTTTTTGTTTTTTGGCTGCCTGTTCCAATGATCCATCACTCTTTTTGATTGAAGTCTGCACCAAAAGTTTATAGACAATTGAGGATAACAAAACGTGAAGAAGTATGAAATGATGATACTTAAAAATAAAATACACCATCTTTCAAAGGATGGGCTTCCTCAAAAAAATGCAAGCCGTTCTTAGAGAAGAAATGGAAAGTGATATTCAAATGAGAACAAAACCTAGAAGGGACATTGCGAGAACAAAAACTAGAAGGAACCAGGCTTGATCCGGCAATCTATAATAATCCTTGGAATTCTACATGAATATTTATGGATATATAAAATTCCATCATCAAAATCGCTAGCTTTATCAAAATTATATGTGGTTCACTTTATTTAACCACCTTCAATCATTCCTACTTAGTGCACCATAAATCCTACTTAGTGCACCATAAATAAGAAGCCAATTTTTGCAAATCTCTATTATAACTAGTAACTATATTATCTTTGATCTTTTATTTTTTCTTTTAAATTGTTCCTCAATAAATCCATATACTAATGTTATGAGTGTATCTTATTCCCTGCGAAATATATGTACATACACTAAGTATATTCTATACTACCTTAACCTCAAAGAATGGCACTCTCACTTCCTCTATAATATAATCCTTTCTCGCTGAATCATTTCTAAATTTATAGTGCATTCATTATTATAGATTCTCACTACACTCAACTTATCTATCAATGTCATTTTCCAAATCATATAGTATATCAAATGTCAATCTCCATAATATTCACGTATTACATAGCACTTCCAAATCCCTTCCTATTTTAATCACCAACTATAGAAATTAACTCCTTGTTTATATCTAAATTATTTAAAATAATAGATAAAAGATATTTAAACCTACCACAACAAGATGTCCAGCAATATTGATTGACAATTATTTATTTCTGATTCATTGTTATTATATGTCTAATAGGAAATACTTGATTTCAAGTATTTCCAAATCACTTCTATAGCAAATCTCGATGAAAACTGCTGTTCGCAGCAGCAAAACAGTGGAAAAACAGGGAAAATCTAAGAGAAATTTGGAGAAACAACTTGTATTTTACTAGTAGATGCAAGAAAAATAGCAAAGATACAAGGATCCTCTATTCAAGAGGAGGATAGCACTCTCTCAATCTCTAGATTCGTTCTAGAGCCCAAGCCACCAAGCAAACCCTAATTCCAATCAATCAAAACATGCCCAATCCCTAATTCCCTCATACCAAACCTTCCTAATACAAATTCCCTCCCAAAACCTCTTCTCCCCACTCCGTTTGAATTTCCCCTTCATTCAATTAGTGGGGCCCGCTCCTTTTGAGCGGAACAGGCATAGGAGGCGGAATACTTCCGCCTCCTATAAACCAGCGGCCCTTGGGCCGGCTGGTTCTGGACCAGTTCCAAGTGAACCGGTCTAACAATACCGCCCTCCCAAAGAATCACCTTGTCCTCAAGGTGAAAATCAGGAAACTGATGTTTTATCCTCTCGTATGGCTCCCACGTGGCCTCGTACTCCGGAAGACTCTTCCACTTGATCAGCACTTCCTTAGTTCCATCTTCATTCTGGCGGACCCCCTCCAGCTCTGAGGGTTCCAGAATCACCTCTAAATCCTCCATAAGTGTCGCTGGCAGCTTGGGGTTGGCTGTGTAGTCACCAATGGCCTTCCTCAACTGCGAGACATGAAAAACTGGATGTATGGTTGCCGAGGGTGGTAATTTTAGTCGATATGCTACTGCCCCAATCTTCTCCAGTACTTTATAAGGCCCAAAATACCTTGGAGCCAGCTTTTCATTCCTCCTGTTAGCAACAGTCTTCTGCCTATATGGTCGGAGCTTCAAAAACACATTCTCTCCCACTTCAAACTGGATGTCCTTCCTATGCCCATCTGCTTGTTTCTTCATAATTTGCTGAGCTCTCAGTAAATGCCTTTTCAACTCCTCTAGCACTCGATCCCTCTCCTCCAAGTACTCCTCCACTGAAGAAACTGGGGTACTGTTACTCCCAAAATGCACCAAGTGATGGGGGTCTCTTCCATACAACACCTTGAATGGAGTCATCTATGCAGCCGAGTGAAACGAGGTGTTGTACCAGTACTCCGCCCAAGACAGCCACTTGGTCCCAAGCTTGGGTGTCTCTGACACAAAGCATCTCAGATAAGTCTCCAAACTCCAGTTGACTACTTATGTTTGACCATCCGTCTGTGGGCGGTAAGCGGTATTCCTTTTCAGCACTGTCCCCTGCAATCTAAACAACTCTCTCCAGAAATGGTTGAGGAATACTTTGTCCCTGTCGGAGACTTTCGCTTCTGGTACCCCGTGTAATCTGACTATCAACTTGATGAATGCTGACGCTACTGTCACTGTAGTGTATGGATGGCGTAGAGGAATGAAATGAGCATATTTGCTCAATCTATCCACTACCACCAATATCACATTGAATCCCTCAGAACGGGGCAACCCATCAATGAAGTCCATAGATACCTCCTCCCAGACTCGACCTGGTAAAGCCAAGGGCTGCAGTAAACCCCCAGGTGATATAGCTAGGTACTTATTCCTTTGGTAGACTTCGCATCTGGATACATCTCTTCCACATCCTTGTGCATCCCTCTCCAGTATAGTTCTGCCGCCAGTCTCCTGTAGGTCTTTAACACTCCTGAATGACCTCCCACTGTAGTCCCATGGAACTCCTGAAGCAACTGTGGAATGTGAATTGATGTTTTGGGTAACACAAATCTCCCCTGATACAACAATCTCTCCCCTTCCGCAGAGTATCCTGGATGGTTGCCCTCTCCCTTAGTAACTCAGTCCTGATCCTGCCTAGTTCCTCATCCCTAGCACTCTCCTCCTTGATGGCCTCCCAATCTAGCATCATTGGGACTGATACAGCCACTGTCTGCAGCTCCCCCATGCATCGGGATAGGGCATCTGCCGCCTTATTCTCTACCCCTGGCCTGTACTGAATCTCAAAATCGTACCCTAACAACTTGGACATCCACCTTTGATGCTCCTCTGTTACCATCCACTGCTCCAACAGGTATTTCAAGCTCCGCTGATCTGTCCTGACAATGAAATGTCTCCCAAGCATGTAGGGCCGCCACTTCTGGATGGCCAACACGATGGCCATTAGTTCCCTCTCATAAACTGATTTCAGCCTAGCTCTAGCAGTCAACATCTAGCTGAAATAGGCAATAGGCCTCCGACTTTGCATCAGCATTGCACCAAGATCGTACCCGGATGCATCGGTCTCCACAATAAAAGTCTGAGTGAAATCTGGCAACGCTAAGACTGGCACCGTGGTCATCGCCTTCTTCAAGCTCTCAAACGCTGATGTGGCTGCCTCCCCCCATAGGAACCCATCCTTCTTCAACTGCTCAGTAAGCGGCCATGCTATGGAACTATACCCCTTTACGAACCTTCTGTAGTAACCTGTCAGTCCTAAGAATCCCCTCAGCTCCTTCAGATTTTTTGGTACTGGCCACCTTAGCATTGCTTCAATTTTGGACTGATCAGCTGCCACCCCTCCTTTTGAAACTACATTGCCCAAGTACTCTACACTGATTTGTGCAAAGCAACATTTTTTAATTTAGCCCTCAACTGGTACTCCTGCAGTACCTCTAACACATTTTTTAAGTGCTCCCAGTTCTCCTCCTCTGTCCTGCTGCAAATCAGAATATCGTCAAAGAACACTAACACAAACCGTCTGAGATAAGGTTTGAAAACCCTATTCATCAGGGCCTGGAAAGTCGTTGTAGCGTTGGTGAGACCAAAAGGAATCACCAAAAACTCATAATGGCCTTCATGCATTCTGAAAGTCGTCTTGAGTACATCCTCCCTCTTCATCCGGATCTGGTGGTAGCCTGATTTCAAGTCTATCTTGCTAAAAATCACAGTGCCACTCAATTCATCTAGGAGCTCGTCGATGACGGGTATAGAAAACTTGTCCGGGATAGTCTCCTTGTTGAGTGCTCTGTAGTCCACACCAACGTTTAAAATTGCGCAATAAAAGGCGCGCCTTGAGGCGCGCCTCAGCGCATTTTCGACCAATTAAGCCTCAAAGCCTACGCAATAAGTTTAGTTTATGAGGCTTACGCCTCAAGTTAACTG